AAAAGATGGGGTAAGTTCAAGCCCGGGTGTGGGCGGCTTGGGGCTGGTGTGCATCTTCCAGGGCCTGTGGTAGCCAGCAGGAGCCTCTTCCTATCATGCTGACCTGTGTTGGGGTGGGCTTGGCAGCTGCCTACCTCATCCAAGGACTTAAGCTGGCCCTTCAGATACCTGAAGGAGAGCTGCCCAGCTGGTTGGCAGGTGGAGGTGGTGGTTGGGCTCAGCACTCCATTCTCTCCAGTGTTCCATTGGTGACTGGGACTCCACAGGCAGAGTAGATCAGTACTCCAGCCTGTGTCCATGTCTCTCTTATACCCACCTCAGCCTTGCATCTACAATAATCTAGAATTTGGTATTGACCTCGACACACGAGTGGCTCTGGTAGGGCCCAACGGAGCTGGGAAGTCAACACTTTTGAAGCTGCTAACTGGAGAGGTATGGTGCTCAGGTAGAACTTGGCTGCTTCTAAGAGTAGGGGCCTCTACTCTTACAGAGTCTGGGTACCCTGTTGGTGAGTGAACCACCCAGAGTGGTTAGGGCACAGCGGGAGAGGGGGATTCTCCTTGCGGGTCAGGGCTAAGGCTGGAGCACATGTCCCTTGTGATTTTTGTGTTTTTAGTTAGCATTTTGGATATAGGAATATCTGCATTTGGAGATAGTTTTTCTTTAGAAAATGTATGTTGTGCCCATATCCAAGTTCATTGCTAATGCATTCCTTTGGTGCATTCTATAGTGGACAGTTCATAACTACTTAATAAATTCATTCTCCACCCTTGAAAATGAATGCCTGTTTCAATAGGTCATCCTGAATATTTTTAGAGCTGCCAGACTGAGAGTCTGCCTTGGTGAAGGGATCTCTGTCTCAGAAGTTGTAGAGCCCGGTTCACTGTGCCGGGTATTTGCTCCCTCTCTGCCTGTGTGTGCTTCTATTCAGATTTTCTTTTATGTGCTTATATTTCTATTTAATCCTTTTTTCCTCCTAGCTACTACCCACAGATGGGATGATCCGGAAGCATTCTCACGTCAAGATAGGGCGTTACCATCAGGTACAGGTTGGGGTCAGGGCCCAGGAAGTTGCCCAGGGTATAGGGAGGGGCTGCATCTGGCCCCAACCCCTCTCCCCAGGAATTCAAACCTAGTTAACTCCTACCTGCTTCTCCTTGAATCCTGAACAAGTGCCTAGGGTTGAGATAGAAAATTACCCAAGCAGTAACCCAGATGGCTCCTTTTAAAGCCGGCTACCAGTCACACCTGGGTGGGTCCCAATTTTTCCTGCAGCATTTACAGGAGCAGCTGGATTTAGATCTCTCCCCTTTGGAGTACATGATGAAGTGCTACCCAGAGATCAAAGAGAAGGAGGAAATGAGGAAGATCATTGGGCGATATGGCCTCACTGGAAAACAGCAGGTTAGTGGAGGAGGGGTGTGGGAGGAAGTCCAGGTAGTGGGAGACCACTACTGGATAGTCAGGAACAGCGTCCTGGAAGCACAGGTTTGGAAGCTGTCCCTCCCAGAGTCTCCTCTCCTGCCTCCAGCCTGCTGCCTCTTCTCTAGCTGGTCATGTCATAGTGTTTGAGTGTCACTGTGGAGTTGGTGGACAAGGATAGTGAGCTGGTCTCTGTCATGCCCTTGTGCCGGCATGTTTGAAGACAAAGGAATAGACCACCTAGAAAACAGTTCTAGGTCTAGACCTGGAATTGAGGAGCCACTGGATTGCTCCAGTTCGTTAGGACTTAAAGGCCAAGAGTAAGGGGTGTTGATGCGGTAGTGGCGAGGTGGTTGGATTCCCAGATGTGTCCCTAACAGGCCTAAAAGGACCAGTGGCCAGGGTATTCTCTTGCCATGTTGTCTTTTGGGGGCGGGGGCACCATGGGATGCTTTACCACTGAGCCACATCTCCACCCTTTTCCTTTTTCTTTTTTTTTTTTTTTTTTTTATTTTTATGAGAGAGTCTTGCTAAATTGTTTAGGGCCTTGCTAAGTTGCTGAGATTGGCCTTGAACTTGCAGTCCTCCTACCTCAGCCTCCCAAGTTGCTAGGAATATAGGCATCTCTCACCACACCCAGTGTAATCTTGTCTGAGCCTTACGTTTTGCAAAAGAGCAGTAATGGTAACAAAGGAGCTAGGGAGAGAGGGATAGGAGAGGAGTCTGCTGCATGGTGGGGGCAACTCTCTGTCATGTTTTAACGGTTCCTCTCAGGTGAGCCCAATCCGGAATCTGTCAGATGGGCAGAAGTGCCGAGTGTGTCTGGCTTGGCTGGCCTGGCAGAACCCCCACATGCTCTTCCTGGACGAGCCCACCAACCACCTGGACATTGAGACTATTGACGCCTTGGCAGATGCCATCAACGAGTTTGAGGGTGGTATGATGCTAGTCAGCCATGACTTCAGACTCATTCAGCAGGTGAGGCCCAGCAGAGAGCTTCTAAGGAAAGGCTGGGTAGAGCGCAGTTGTGGCACATGTAGGGTGCTTAAAGGTGTTTGCTGGATTCACAGAAAGGTCTCAGGATAGATTGGCTGCTGAGAAACAGATCTCATGGCTTTGGGAGGATGTTGGCCTAAATGGAGTGGGGAGTCAGATTTTTATTACTGTTCCAAGATTCTTCAGTCCAAAAGTACTGATCTACTACTACAAGATTAGGAAGAAGGCAGCCACCAGTCGTGGGAAAGGTGCTGATTGTTCTGAATCTTTGGGAGAGATGGGGTGGAACAGGAAGTTTAGTGTGAAGCCTCTGAACAGATCTGACAGTAGGGGAAACCATGCTTCCCAGCTTGGAAGGCTGTAGAACCTGCTGGTTACGGTGCCCTAGGGTCAGACATCCCAAAGAACATAGGTAGTGAAACAGTTGGATGGGGTTTGGGTGAGGCCTCAGGGGAGAGTGTGGCATTTTCTCCCTGGAACCCCGTTGATTGGTTCTGGGGCTGCGGGGGGGCGGGGTGGGAGAACGGCTGCCCAGTTCAATCCAGGATCTGCTTTCCAGGTTGCACAGGAAATCTGGGTCTGTGAGAAACAGACAATCACCAAGTGGCCTGGAGACATCCTGGCCTACAAGGAGCACCTCAAGTCCAAGCTGGTAGACGAGGAGCCCCAGCTCACCAAGAGGACCCACAATGTGTGAGCCCTTGGCCCCCTTGGGTCAGGAGCGCCACCTGGGGACTACCAGCTGTCGCCTGACAAGCCACTCAGGACAGGACCCTGGGGCTGCACTCCCGCATTGCTGCAATACTGCCCCCAGCCTCTCCCCATCTCAGCCTGCCTTCGCTGCACTGTTACCTTATCTACAGCTGGACAGTACCTGTCCGTTTCCCATCCTCCTTCCAGTTACATCTGTCCATGTCTGGACTTGGCTGGCTCTTCCCTCTAGCCTGTTGCTGGTTATGTTGCCCTAAGAGAGATGCAGCCAGAGGTACCCTAGGGTTAGCCCAAGGACCCATACCCTGGATTTGGCGTGTGAAGGAGTTTTAAGAGCCTCATTTTCTGGGTTTTGGTGATGTTGGAGGATTACCCCCAGCCCACCACCCCTGTTCCTTTTGCTTCTGGTTTGGAGCTCTGGACCAGGGCCTTGGTCCTGGTCCATTTTTAAATAATTATTTAACAGTGTAACTTTTAGACCTGAGTGACATCTACAAAGTGTCCAATAAAGAAAGAGGAACCCATGGTCCCTCTCTTCCTTCCCAGGTCTGTGGGGCCTTCTTCCCCTCCTCCCTGCAGCACCAGCATTCACCTCAGCAAGAGTTTGATGGGACTGAAGATTATCCTGTAGGAGATGAAGAGTGTCTCCCCCTTCTGCCTTGAACTGGGACTCTTAGGCCTATGGTTCACATACCTTAACATGACTCTGAATCACCTGGAGGGCTCATCAGATCACAGATTGAAAGTTTCTGACAGTAGGTCTGGGTGATACTGAGAATTAACATTTCTAACAAGTTCCCTGTGATGCAGATGCTGAGTTGCAGGTCTAGGGGCCTTGATTTGAAAAGCACCATGCTGGAGTATGTTTTTCAGAGTGTGACCCGAGACTCCTGCTGCCACTTGCACCACAGTATGTGGGACACTTGTTAAAAATGTGGATTCTGAAATCCAGACCTGTTGGTTTGGTGCAGGGGGAAAGATTCAGAAATGTCCAAGGGCTTGCATCTCCAGCTGCTGTTCTGGAGCAATACAGGAAGTGCTGTCAACTTAACTCGTCCACCTTCGTTTTCATCAGCCCTGGCTGGTTGACATCCAGCCCAGGCCTCTTGGCAGCCTGTGTGGTTCTTCTGAACTTGGAGCCCTTATGCCCCTAGGATATGCGTGGCCAGTGTTAGTCCTGCGCTTGTCACTCTGCCTCTGGAACCTCAGCAGTCCTCCTGTGGGAAAACAGACACAGCCACAAGTTGTCATGTTACAGTGCATCTAAGAAGGGGGAAGAAACTCCCAGATGGTGTCTAAACCCCCAAGGAGCTCATAATCGAGAGGGAAAGCCAACAAGACATAGAAAGCACATAAATCAGATGTTAAATTGTGATTGAGACTAAATTGTTGAGTAGGAGACTCAGAAGTATTCAAAAGGGGGTGCGGTTTTGCATGAGCAGCTGCCCAGAAAGACTGGCTTAGTGCTCAACTTGAAAGATGAGTAGGGTCTTCTCAGATGGTCATCAAGTTCAAGGGCTCCCTTAGGCACAGGAGACACCAGTAAGAAACCAAGAGGCCTATGCTGCTCCTCATCCTCTAAGGGGCCTGGTCTGGTCGCTTGTGCCATTAAGTAGGGTTGAGAGCAAAATGGCCAAGTTGATCTGTCTTGAGCACCCAGAGCCTGGGTTCAGGGGAGCATGGTGTCAGCCAGCTGCTGCTCCTTCCACCAAGGAGCTGCCTGATCTCCAGAGTATGGCATGGCACCTGAGGTGCCATGGGACAGGAGGACCCCAGGACTGGGAGAAGTAGAAGCTGAATAGTAGTAGTACAGACAGCCTGTTTGTCAAAAAAAAAAAAAAAAAAAGGCCAATCTTGATAATTGTAAGAATACTTAGAAAGTCCACAAATTATATATTTCTAAAATTAGCACTGCCTTATTTGGGAGTCAGAACTGCCTTCCCAGTACTCTTGAAGCAAACTTTGGCAGTCGCGGTAGTTGATGGGGACTGCCGTGCTCGTGTGCTGGCAGGTGGGGATGGTCTTTGGCTCTCTTGTCTCTCCCCCCCACACCTATACTTTTCATGCTGCTCCAGGTTTCTTTAATCACAGCATTCAAGAACCTGAAATATTTGTTCATATGTAGGGGTTAAGTGAGACGACTAACTCACCATTTCATAATAACTTTATCTTTGCAGATAACTTCCACTTGCATCCCCAAATAATTTGTTTTCAGAGAAGGCGCATTGTTTCTCTACCCCTAGCTCCTAGTCCCAAAGGCCTTCCGTGGACTCCCAGCCTAGGTTGCTTCCCGCTGTCTGTGTCTAGTACAGGCCCAGCTGGCCAACTCCCAGCTTCCGCCTGCAGTGCGAGCCTTGCATAGATTCTACTTTCACTTTTTTTGCCCCATTCTTCCTAACTAAAATCATAACCTCACGGGCTGAGGATATAGCTCAGTTGGTAGAGTGCCTGCTTTGCATGCACAAGGCCCTGGGTTCAATCCCCAGCACCACCAAAAAAAATCATAATCTCTCCTTCAAGACCAGCTTTAGGTCCCCATGTATTCCATGAAGTGCCCCTGGGTGCTCTGGCCCTCCTTAACATCCACACACTTCCTTAATTATTGAATGCAAGCCAGCCTTGTCTCTCCAGCCTAGCAGAGGGCTCTGTGGGGGGAAGAAGCTTGTGGTCCTGAAACCCCAGAGCCATGCCGGGCGCCAATGTACTCTGTGAATGTGGATGGTTAGCCTGGAGTCGGTGAACTTCAACAAGTGCATAAGCCCACTCAGGGAAGATTGGGAGATTTCTTGAAGAGGGAGTAATTAGTCCCAAGATTAATCCAGAATGTGTTCTGGGTAGGGTGAAGCCGAGCCTTGCCCCCACCTTCCATCCCAGGTGCTTGCCCCCAGCCACACCTGGCAGCGCAGTTGGCTTCTTAAAAGTGGCCCCAAGGCAAGGGAGGGGGCTGGCGAGAAGCAGGAGGATGAGCGCAGAGCTTGGGCGGCGTCGGCAGCAGCAGCAGCAGCAGCAGCAGCAGCAACAACAACCCCGGGGCCGCAGGAGGTGGAGCTCTGGGGACAAAAAGTCCAAAAAACGTAGCCGGCGCAAAGAGACGTATTCAATGTATATCTACAAGGTGCTGAAGCAGGTGAGCGTGGGGAGCGAGAATGCGGGTTAGGGATGAACTGGCGAAGGGGCCCCAAAAGTGCTGGACTGGAAGCGGGGCTTGGTTTCTTGCTGGCACTGGCACAAGTGGCCACAGGCAGGCTGTGCCCCTCCTGAGGTGGCTGGTGTTGGTCTCAGGTCTCTACCTCTCAGTGTCTTGTGCACCTGTAGTCGGAGACATTTAAAGCATTCTCCCACCCTTTCCAGAGGACTGCAGGGCTCTTGGACAGAAATGATCTTGAAGCACACTAGGTGGGTCAGGCTGAGGGTAATGCACACACCATAATACAGACAGGGAGCCTGTGACTGAGGGGCAATTAGTATGACCTGGGCTCCTGGGAGAGGCCTGGTCAGGTAGTACTAGCTCTTTGAAGGGCTTAGGATTTGTTGCTGATGGATGAAGACCTTGAAGTCCCTAACTGGGGTAACACAGTCACATGACTGAGAGTGGCAGAGCCTGGGCTCCCCTGGCTTTGGACAAGCCCATAGCATCCCTCCTGGTAGCCCCTAATACCCAGTTGCAGGTGCCCTTCATTTATTCATAAAAAGCAGGATTCCCAGACTTGGCGCCTTGATAAACACTTTGGGCATCAATGGCTATTCATAAGCCAGTGTGAATAGAAGATCCAAAGTGCCCTGCCCTCACCTCAAAGCTGCTGCCTGCTTAGCAGGGCCAGGAAGAGGAACAGGTGGCTGTACTGTCTGAGCTGGGGCTTGCCACCTGCCTAAAATTCCTTTTTTTTTTTTTATTCTTTATGAGTCAATGTCTGAAATTTTCTTTTATTATTGTTCAAAACATTACAAAGCTCTTGATATATCATATTTCATACATTTGATTCATGGGAGTTCATAATCTGTCTAAAATTCCTACCCCTCTAGTAGATTAGTTCCCAGAGTGGAAGCCTGTCTCCAGTCTGAAGCCCATTAACAGTGTTAGTAAACTGGCACCATGGGATCTGGGATGTTCTCGTGGGTGGGGAAGGCACTGCTATGGATGGTCCAGAAGGGAAGCAGCAGAGGACAGGCTGTACCCTAAGAGTGGTGGGTTTTGTTTTTTTTTTTTTACCACCAGGGATTGAACTCGGGGACAACCAACCACTGAGCCACATCCCCAGGCTTATTTTGTATTTCATTTAGAGAGAGGGTCTCACTGAATTGCTTAGTGTCTCGTGGTTCCTGAGGCTGGCTTTGAGCCCTCACCCTTCTGCCTCAGCCTCTTGGGATTACAGGCGTGCGCCACTCCACCCTGCTAGAGGTGGTATTATTAATCCCTGAAGATTAACCCCATTTCATGGCTCAGGAGTTTCTGGAAGGGTTGGACCAGGCCTGGGCTTGCCAGCAGAGGACACCTACGAGTTGGTTCCTTGTTGCTGCTCACTGAACTTGACTGCTTCTCAGCTCTGAGCTCATCAGCAACCCTAAGAATGGGATGTGAAGAGAAGGGATTTGAGCTAACCCACCCTTGAACAGCAGCAGACTTCCTGCCAGCAGTGGGGACCAGAGGCAGCAGTGACAGTGGGTGGCTGGGTGTTAGGAGCCCCGTTCTAATTCTGGGTCCCCCACTGGCCTGGTGCAGGCGGGGGCAGTCACTTCTCTCCCACTTTGCACCTGACCAGGTCTACCTACTCAGGCCTCTACCATTTGTTTCACTAGAGATCAGCTAGTTCAAAAGGCTCTGTGACAAGAGGAAAACAAGACCCAGAGGTTGATTCCAGGTCATAGTGATTCACAGCCCAGATCACAGGTCTGCCTCCTGGTCTGGTGCCACTGTGACAGTCATGCAGGTGTGCTTACTGGAGGGTAACTTGGCACCAGCCATTTGACCAGGAATAATTAACCTTCATTATTTCTCATACAGGGTTCTAAGATGCAGATTTACTAGCACAATCTAATAGCAAACAAACCCTGAAATGTCCATTAAGAGGAATGGCAATGAACATGATTTACCCACCCCACTATGGCTCATCTATGCAAATGCATTAGATGAAAACAAGGTGCATGTGTAACTGATTCCACTCGTTAAGTATAAATGCTTGTTTATGCTTCTATAAGGAATTTAATAGTTACTCTGCCATTAGAGAAACTTTTTTCTTTTTGAAGTTGTATGTACAGCCATGTCATTTAACAACAAGAACACATTCCGAAGCTGGGCATGGTGCACACACCTGTAATCCCAGCTGCTCTGGAGGCTGAGGCAGGGGGATCATGAGTTCAAACCCAGCCTTGGCAACTTAGCAAGGCCCTAAGTAATTCAGCAAGATGCTGTTTATAATAAAAAAGGGCTGGGGATGTAGTTCAGTGGTTAAGCACTGGTATCAAGGAGGGGAAAAAAAATTCCACATTCTGAGAAATGCATTATTAGCTAGTTCTATTCTTATGCAAATGTCAGAGTGTACATGTACAAGAGAAGATGGCCATGATGGTCACTAGGCAATATGATGGTACGGGACCACTGTTATATATGCAGTCTGTTGCTCACTACGTGGCACATGACCGTAGCAGTAGAAAGAAAACAGTTTTGATTTCCCTGTCTGGTGGCCTCCAGGGAGATGCTGGTGAGGAGACCTAGGTTCCTGTCCCTGGACTCTAAGGGTCCAGGTTGGGCTGGGCCAAGGCTGTGGTGCACACAGCTGTGGTTAACAGATGGTCTTGCTGCTTTTCCAGGTGCACCCGGATATCGGCATCTCTGCCAAGGCCATGAGCATCATGAACTCCTTTGTGAACGATATTTTTGAGCGGCTGGCTGGTGAAGCTGCCCGGCTGGCCCAGTACTCAGGCCGGACAACCCTGACTTCCCGGGAAGTCCAGACAGCCGTGCGTCTGCTGTTACCTGGGGAGCTGGCCAAGCATGCTGTCTCAGAGGGCACCAAGGCTGTCACCAAGTACACCAGCTCCAAGTGACCAGGGCCTGCCATAAATAAAGGGTGACCTGTTCCCGTGCACTGTGGTGACTTGAAAAGTGGGTGTGTGGAGCCAGAGTGTTGTCTGGGGCAAGGGTAAACTTGCTCTTTGACACTACCACAGATGGAATCCTAACACTTCTTAAAATCTGCTTTCTAAATGTATTCCTGGAGCACCAGGTGATAGTGATTTGTAAGCCTAAGACCTGCTTTCATTGGTGGAGAGCAGGAGCAGGGCTGGGACAAAGGTCCTGGGTTTATGCTGCTGTTTCCAGCTGTGAGCCTGAAATTCCTTGGTATGTCACTTCCAGGCTGTGGTTTTATGAATCTGTCTTACATCGACTCTCGTTGTTCCCTGTATGTGGCAGCCACTGTGCTGGGCAAGGGGCTAGGCTTACATGTTCAACATACAGAACCGAAGGTCAGACCAGCTTCTAAATAATCAGCTGAGATTAGTTGGAGTTTTTATTTCCCCTAACATTTTCTTCCCCCTCAATTTCAGAACAAATCAATGGATGTTTTTGAGATTCCTAACTTTTCTTCTCCACTTGTATTTCTTTATTTCTGTGATTGGACCCAGGAGTTGTCTGCCCACGGAGCTACATCTCCAGCCACACCCCCCCCTTTTTTTTTTTTTAAGATGGGTCTTGCTAAGTTGCCAAAGCTGGCCTCTAACTTGCAGCCTTTCTGCCTTAGTCCCCCAGGTTGCTGGTATTACAAGCATGCCCCATTGCACCCAACTTCCAATTTTATTTTGAAACTTGCAGAAGAATTTTAAGAAAGTGTAGCAGCTTCCAGGTGCAGTGGCACCTGTTTGGGAGGCTGAGGCAGGAGGATTACAAGTTCAAGGCCAGTCTCAGTAACTTAACGAGACCCTGTCTCTAAATAAACACCAAAAAAGTGCCCCTAGGTTCAATCCCGGGTATCAAAAAAAAAAAAAAAAAAAAAGTGCTGTAGCCACCCCTGGCCTTCCCACTTACCCTCTGACCACGTGCTTTCCCTCTCATTCTGCCTCTGCCCTTTTCCATGGGCATAAGACCTACACATTCTGCTCCAAACATGGAGGGGTTGGAGTGAAGGGGTGGGACTTAGACTGATCTAGAATCCTTCTTTATGTTCCCTTGGTGATTGGATCACCTCAGGTTGTTGCCTTCAGCTTCATTGCACTGAAAGGCGCTACCTTGTCCTGGTAGCTGACAGCTGGCTGTGGCCCCACATGCCCCACAGGTTTTTTTCCTCACAACTCAAGCCTCCCAAGAAGATTCCCCAAGCTGAGGACTGAGGATCCACATTCAGGTCCCAGGACTCGAAAAGGGCAGCCCCAGGAGATCATGGCCCTGAACTCACTGTTCCCACTCCACCACTTGCTTCACACCTTGCTACAGAAGTGTGCATCATGGACCAGCAGCTTCCACGTCACCTTGGCACTTGTTGGGAGCTCAGGCTCTTAGGCCCCACAGCTCTGAAATGGAATCTACATGTTAACAAGATTCTCTAGTAACAAATATGAGAACTCCTCCCCGCTGCCCCCTGCTCCCCACTTTCTTTGGCCCTGCTCCTCATTTATTTATTCATAAGCCTCTACTTAACCCTGAGCAAAAGAATGGCTCCCCCTGAGCAGAGGGGCTGCTGCTGGCGGAATGCTTTGAGCTTCCAGAGAAGCCATCCTGAGCCTGGAGCTCATGGCAATGGGGAACGTCCACGGGTAGCTGCGAATGAGCCCCAACACCGCGTTGCTGTTTGGGTCAGCTTCTTTACCACTGTAGCCAAAACAATTAGAGGAGAAAAAGTTTATTTGGGGGCTCACAGTTTCAGTCCATAGCTGGCCAGGTCCATTCCTCACAGCTGGAGGTGAGGCAGAACAACATGGCAGAAGTATAAGGCAGAGGACAGCTTCTCAGGACATGGCAACAGGAAGAAGAGAGAGAGAGAGAACAAGTGCTCACCACTGAAAATATGTACACCTCAAAGGCGCACCCCCAAGGGCCCGCCTCCTCCAGCCACACCATACCTCCCTATAGTCACCACCCAGTTAAACCCTCTCAGGGGATTAATTTATTGATTAAGGCTCATAGCCCAATAATTCCACCTCTAAATTTTCTTGTTTAAACTTTCTAAACATCACTCCTTCTGGAACCCCAAGTTCATAGTCCTCCAACACTCACAGCTTGGGCCCCCCACATCCCCTGCCCTCTCCTAGCACAGAATTCCACATGGGCCACGTGAACCTTCTTAACCCAGCCAGCCCCAGGGAGGGAGGTATGGTTGTGCTGTCACACAGAGGAAAGTGGGGACTTCAGGGCCTCTGAGCCCCAGTCCAGTGCCCTCTTCCCCACCCATTACACAGGCTTCTAGGACAGTCATATACAAGGGGAAAGGCAGGGTGGAGCATGTGTTTAGCGTGCACATGGCCCTGGGTTCGATTCCCAACACCAACACTCCCACCAAAAGAGTAAAGTCAGGTTGCATGGAGTGGAGGTTGAGGAGCTGGACCTGGTGGCATGCCCCAGTGGTCCCCGCAATTAGGGAGGCTGAGGCAGGAGGACGGTCTGAGCCTAGCAGTTTGAGGACAGCCTGGGCAACATAGTGAAACTCCATCCCCAAAGTAAAATCTTTTAAAAGAATAGGAGGCTGAAGGAAGTTAAAGAAAAGAAACTTCCCCAAGTGAGGAGTCCATTTACCCTTAGGACAGATACTTACCCAGAGGCTTACAGCTTACAGGTGACTTCAAGTAGAGACTTATTGATTCTCACCAGAAAAGTGGCCACAGTCATCCCCCGCACTGCCCTATCCTTTCTGCAGCCTCTGCCCCTGCCCACTTCAGCACTGCCATCTCAGGGATGTCCGCCTAGGGAGACATCCCATCCTGCACTCCCAATCCCTCCCCTCAGCCTTAGAACATTGGCACAACAATGGGTCAGAACTCTTAACACTAGGCCGTTCTGCCCCCGACTTTAGGGAAACCACAGAGGTTCTTTGAGTTCCACGGCCAGCTCAAAACAGTGTGAGGAGTGGGCACTATGTCTGAGGGGTGAGTGAGGGAAGAAGGAGGCTGGCAGGGTGGGGAGAGCAAGGGGCAGAGCACCCTGCTGGCTGTGAGAGGCAGGGCAGGGAGGGCTCTGGTGCTGGCCAGCCCTGCGTGGCTCCTGGCCGTTCGCATGGCTCCCTGGCTGCTTCTGCCAGTGGACAGCTTTTGGTCTTCAGACTTCCCTTGGACTATTCCTTCCAGCACCAGGTTCTGGCCTGGAAAAAGGACTCTTCTCTACCCTCATCTCTCTCCCTTACACCCCACCCATCATCCCAGACCACTGCTGCATCGATTGGCTGGGCCCTCATCTGGAGGTATCCATACTCCCTAAAGTCCAAGTGCCCTTTCCTTTTCCTTACAGGAGCCCGGCCACAGGCTGCCTCCTCCCCCAACTCCTACAGCTACACCCACACTTCTCTCCTTGTTACGCCATTGGAGACCTAGAGCCCCCCCAAACCCATGCCTCTTTAAGCCAAGCGGGTGCCTACTTACTCCTACCAGCCAATCACTTCTCTGAAGTCCACTTTGGTACCTTAAGGAACATCGCTTCTTCTGGAACCCCAAGTTCACATCCCTCCAAAACTCACAGCTTGGGTCCCCGCATCCCCTGCCCACTCTCCATGGTTCAGAGCACAGCATGTCCGACTTCTCTGCAGAACTTACCAGCGCCTCTGGGAGGCCTCCCACGTGACCCTGCAGGAGCTGCTGGACCAAGAGCAGCCCCTGCTTGAAGCTGTGCCCAACCGGGACCGGCAGTCCTTCCAGTATAAACTCTCAGTGTTCTACCTGTACTACCTGGGGCTGCTGCGCCGTTTCGACACCATCTATGACCAGATGGTTCAGCCACAGAAGCGCCGGTTGCTGCGGCGGCTGCTGGATGGCGTGGCGGGTCGTGTGCTGGAGATCAAGGATGAGCTGGTTCGTGTTGACCTATGTGAGACCCACTGCCTGGACCGCGTGCTACAGGATCTCAAGCTGACCCCAGTGCGTGCACTGCCACCTCAGGCTAGGTGGGAGGTGGGGGCTGGCCTTGACCTACCACTGGTGTTGAGACATCTGCAAAGACAGGAAAGCCAGGCAGATCAGAGGATGGGCTTGGCCTCAGGAGAAGAGCTTCAGGAACTGGGGATGCACGGAGAATAAGGCCCCACCCACCAGTGCAGCTGGGAAGACCCTTGAACTACAGGGGATAGGTGAGAAGAGTCCTCTAGAGCCTGGCTTCTCAAAATGTGGTCCATGGACATTGCCTTGGAGGTGGTTGGAAATGCAGAATGTCCACCAGCACCCAGAGCCACCAAATCTGCACCTGCCTTTTCACATTCCTCCCAGGTGATCTGAGCACATGGGAAAGTTCTAGAAGGGCTTTCCTAGAGCAGAAAGCTACTGCAGGGCCTCCAAGCCTACCCTAAGGTCAATATGAAACTTGCCTTAACCAACTACTGGTTGGTGTGGACATGAACAAAATGCAGATTCCCCAGGCCTTGCCATTCTGCTGTGGGAGTCTGGGGAGGACATAGGAATCTGCTTTATTATCTTTCCAGTTTATTTTGAGGCACAGCCAGGTTTGGGACCACTGCCACCTATTGTGATCCTCCAGAATTCAACTCTATCCAGATGGGGACAGGGCAAGAAAGGGACAACCCTGGGGGGGGAATTCACCCACAACCTAGAAGTTTCCCACTCCAGCTCCAGGAGGGAGGCAAATACTGCAGAGAATGGCTAAGCAGCTGGAATGGCAACAGTTTGGCCCAATGGCCTGGACTTGTGATTCCTGACCCTCCTCCCCACATCTTGCCCCAAAGGCAGACTTGGAGGTTCCAATCCCCAAATACTTCCAGCTGGAGCAGTCCGCGGCCATGAAGGAGCGCAAGCTGATCTTGGCTGAGATCCTGTCCAGAATGGAGCCAGAGCACCCCACGGAGGCAAGTGGTGGAGATACCCTCCCAGACGCACCCCCACCCTTCTCCTGGAATAGAGGTCTTACCTGGACTAGTCACAGCTCAGA